ATATTTCAATAATCACAGGAGTTTGCTATATTAGATAACATTGTTCATTTGTGAAGATTTTTCAGCGAAAATTTGTTTAAAAATCCTGCAGATATATTAATTTCTAAATCTATTGATCTCATGGCGACGATGTTACAACCTAGATTCTGTAGGTACCCCCCTTTTTACCAGTATTGCTTTTTTATTTGTTAGTAGCGATTAAAAAATTCATACTTCTCGACTCCTAAAACCCGTTCTAATAAGTCATAATCTTGGATAATTTAAATTTTATAGCAGTTATTTTTTTCTATTGAAATATTTTCATTAAATTCAGCTGCGGGCAAATGATTTCTCATAATATAATCCGAGACAGGTTTTCTCATTTAATTTCTAAACCTGAAATAAATTAGCAATTTTGACTTCCTCGACATGAAAAAGTAAAAAAGGGCTAGAACGCTAGCTGTTCTACGGACGCATTTATAATTATGGGCACTCACTTGTGTGCGTGTGAGTTAGCCCTAGCCTTAGAAGCGCGTGTAAATAGGCCTGAGTACACACATCTATTTCTACGTTCAGACATATGTATTTACCTACATATGTATACGCTTATGCATATATATTATTTGCTAAGCAAGTTCAAAACCCTACAAATAAAGTTGAAGAATTCATATACTTGAATAAGTTGAAAAAAGGCAAATAATTAAAAATTCATAAAGTACTGGCACGCGTGTCAAACGTGACTAAGCCTGACAACACAGTGTATACGACTGCATTAGCGCGCTTGCTAGTTATTACTATGTGCTTATATACTGCCTATATACAACCGCACATATTTTATATTTCCAACCATTGTTTATCCTTCAAATCGCTTTTGCGTACACGCGAAAAGTGTTATATACACATATGTTTGTAAGTATTTGAGCTCCACGGCTTGTTCAAATTCAAACTACGATGTCTGAAGGCCGAGTAAGTGTTGAGCTCGATGCTTATCATTCGTTCATTTATCTAATTTCAATTACGCGATTAACAGCACAAGCTTGAAATTGTGACTTTTTTGTTATCGAGTGATTTGACTTTGCCTTTTGTCTTATACTCATACTTTTATGTTCTGAGCTTCCAATCACACCATATTATTCTAGAATATATTGCGATCTGTTGCTTTTATGCACTGTCTTCTTATATTTTTAGAAGGGTCGAAATTTCTGCAAGACACTAGCTAATCGACCTTAATTCTCGCTGCCTTTGATTTGTCAAATCTTGGAGAGTGGCGAATCGAACAAGCAACTGGAATGACTCGTATAGACTGGCATGTTCAAACAATTATAGGAAGAAAACGATTGCTCTACTTAAGAAATTTTAGCATAGTTTGTTATATTAAATTAAACAATCTTGCTTTGTTGTTGCTTGCACCTCTTAATCTTTAGGAACTTGTATCACAAACTAAAAGAGCAATGTTTTCAAAATCCCTAGACCTTTTTGTGTATTTTCATATGTTAGAGCTGTATAGAATCAGCTTGTATTATTTGCCTTTTTCGGTAATGGTACTAAATATTATAATCCGTATTAGGAACCTATGCGACTTTTTAAGTTATTTACATTTTATAATCACAGTAAGATATCGGATTAGTTTCAACCTTTGGAACTAGTCGCTCAGTTTTGAGATAACGATCTGAAACTTTGCACACCTTCTCTTTTCACGAGAAGCGGCGCATTAGTCAGAACCGCCGATATCGGAACCTAGGATATACCTGTCATACAAACTGTGTGATCAATATTAAGTTCTTGTATGGAAAACTTGTGTATTTGACAAGATATCTTCACGAAATTTGGCATAGATTATTTTCAGAGGTAACATTTTAATCTCGACTAGCTTTTTACAGATGGGATCACTATAGCATATAACCTTTATTCTAAGTGACCGTTGGCCGGTTACGTTTTCAGATTTAGTTCTACATATAATTCAAGACTTTGTTGTTATTAGTTGTACTTAAAGTACCGGTTAAGTTAAGTGTTATAATTTTACAAGCATAAAATAAATTACACAGTTCCAAATGACGGCAGTTTCAAGGTGAGTGGAATACTAGAATATATAGAAAATTAGTGGGAGCATCTATGACAGCCGTTATGTCGGTCGGTATGTTAATGTGACTTAAGTACATTTGTATTCATAGATTGTATATAAATAACGAAATATAATTGCTTGCACTTAAACATACATACATACATATGCCTTACCATATAGGGTCTACCAACAAGAACGACGTGATGCTAAAATGAAATAAAACACTTAAATTTGGTCAAAATGGGTTCTGTTTTTTTATACCCTGAACAGGGTATATTAATTTTGCCACGAAGCTTGTAACACCCAGAAGGTAGCGTCGGAGACCCTATAAAATATATACATAAATGATCAACATGATGGGCTGAGTTGACTTAACCATGTCCGTCTGTCTGTCCGTTCGTCTTTCCGTCTGTCTGTATATATACGAACTAGTCCCTCAGTTTTTAAGCTATCGATTTGAAATTTTGCACCTGTCCTTTCTTCACTAAGAAGCTGTGACGCTGCAATTCACGAAATTAGGTGTGTATTATTGTTTGAGGCAACAATGTAATCTCCGAAAAAATTGTATAGATCGGACGACTATAGCATATAGTTGCCATATTAACTGAACGATCGGAGTAAAGTGCTTGCATGGAAATTTTTTTTATTTCACGAGTTATCTTCACGAAATTAGGCACGAGCTATTGCTTAAGGCAACAAATTATTCTCCACAGAAATTGGTCAGATCAGATCACTATATCATATAGCTGCGATACAAATTGAACGTTCGGAATCAAGTTCTTGTAATTGGCCTTTGTATTTGTGAAGGGCTATAATAGCCTCGGCGCAACCGAAGTTAACGTTTTTTCTTTTTTTGTTTTTTTTTTGTTATGTAGATAACGATCAAATGGTCACCACGACTCCGTTTGCATATCTTTACTTGTTTATGTTAAGTTTCGATGACCCGGTGTAGCATTTCGGCTATGGTGCGCCTAATTTTGTCTTCGAGCGTTGCTGGTTTTTTGGCCTAAAATTTTGATTTAACATACCTCCATCGAAAATAATCTAGAGGCGTTAAATCGCACGAACTTGGCGGCCATTAGCCTTACCCATTTCCCGAAATTAACGAGTCCATGTTTAGACGTCGGGGCAGCGCGTCGATTTCATCAAATTACGGGGGGGAAAAAGTCGGTCAGCCACATGTTATAACGCTCGCTATTGATGTTAAAGGCATTTCCTGCCTCATTTCGGTCAATTTTCAGGGATGCAATTGCGTTTCTTGAAACAGACTTCGTCTCACCTCAATAGCGACAATTATGTTTGTGACAAAGCTATTAAGCCAGAAATGGGCCTCATCTAAGAAGATGATTTTTCGATGAACGTGAATTTGTGTGATAATCTTGGACAATTTCCAAGCGTTGTGAAATGTGCGAAGTGAAATGTGCCATTTTAAAATAGCAAATCTTACTGAACACACTGAGAAAATTTTACACAAGTCCCCAAATCGTCATGAGTTGTCAAAATCACGTCATCCCTATGGATAGACGCTGTATATGTAAGGACACATGTGTGTGACAAAACCAGTCTTTGACATATCATTTCACTAATTATGCAAACTTTTTCTGCGCTTTTTCTCGACGATTACGATTTGAGTAGCGAGACCCAGACCGAGACGGAAACTGTGCCTGCGACGCGCATATGAAGCGTTCTGCTCCGAGCGATGAAATATTGACCTTCTGGAATAAGTAAATGCTTGTTGAGTGCGCACGCAGCTTCACTTCACTCAAGAAACTAATTATTGATAAACATACACACACAATCACGCACAAATATGTATATGTACATATGTACTTATAAATAAGCACGTGTGTCTGTATACAGCTAACTCTGCCAAGGCGTCACTGGTGGCGATAATTTTCTTTCGCGTCTTTGTACTTACCATATACACTGTAAAAATATGTCGAATATTTATGTTATTTTGCAGTTGAAAAGCCGATGATTGAACAAGTAAAATTGAGGGGCTCGTTCCCATTGCTTTAGTGTTAGTAGTTGTAGAAGACGGAACTCTCCTCTTTCTTTTTGTTAAGCTATTTTGTAGATGAAACCCGTTGACATAAAAACACATACTATTATATACGAGCATATGTATGTAAATATGTATATCTGTAAATGTGTGACATAAAAAGTACTTTCTTTATGTATGTATGTATATATTATATACATATGAATGTCAGTATACACCGATAAGAGCCTGTTTTGGGATTTCGTTAGCACACACACACGCAAACACTCATACATATGTGCCTGTTCGTTTGCAAATTAACCGAGTATCTGCGCGTATGTTCGTCGGCCTGCTGCTGCTACAAAGAAGACTAAATGAGGAAGGCAAAAACAGGCAACAATAACAAAGCTTTAGTGTTTAATTATATTTATTTAATTTTTGTTGCTTCACGAACGAGAATATTTGCGCATTAAATTCTTATAGAAATGTTAATATAAAACATTTTTCGTCTTCGCTCTTTCACCTACATACTTTATGTGCCTACGTACGTACATATGTATGTATATATGTACCAGTATGTATGTAGCAGCCGAAGCTGTTGGAAGAATTTGTAATAATTTTGAAAGAAAGCGTGCGAGCGAAATACATACATACATATAATTAGAAAAGATATTTATAAATGAAGAAGGATTATACATGGATTAATAAATTGAAATGCTGAAAGGCAAAATAAAAAAACAATAAAAATATTCACAAGATCATTTTCATGAACGAGTTGTCTGGTGACTTTTTGCTGTGGAGACTCTAATAATTGATTCTTTTGTAGTATATAACTTTTAAGCTAGTTTTGGGTGTATGGATTTATTTATGTTCGATATACACACATACTTATGTTTACAATAATCTATCAATTCAGTATTGAGATGATCAATAATAAAACAATTAAAATAAGAAATATATTATTTTTTTTAAACTCACCAAGGGTAGAATGCAGCAATCTTCTCGTTCTGCATCTGCAATTTCACATTTTGGATGTGGACTGAGGTGTGAGGGCTTCCCTTGAACTAGTGAAGAATGATTAGCCTTATCCGATAGAGTTTCTATAATATTTCGAAAATATCTATCAAACATATCCCATTCTTACGAAAAAACAGACGACGTGTTCAAATTTTGTTTGTGCAAACTGACCAATAAAAATCAAGTTCTTGTATTAAAAATGTTCTGATTTGACAAATTGTCTTCACGAACTTTGACAGAGATTAATGTAGTGTCCTAGGCAACGCTACAATCTTGGAACAAATTGCTCAAATCGGACCACTATAACATATAACTGACATACAAACCGATCAATCAAAATCAAGATAAAGATCTTCTTAAAAGATTCGATTATTTCGACTTAAAAGTTGGTCATATGAAACAACTTGACTGAAAGTAACTAACTAAACGTCTTCCGTTAGATTTAAACCGTATGCCGGTTACGTTTTCACATTTTGCTATACATGTAGTTGCTAAAAGAAATGCCCCTGCGAAGGATTATAATGATATAATTATATCCTATGTGCAGCCGAAGTTAATGTTTTTTCTAGTCTTTACTTCAACTTTTCTACTCTCTCGGTATTTGGTCGCAAGAAATTTCATTTTTCTGAATTCATTTCTATTGTAGTAATCTGCTTTGGAATCGCACCTTTATTTTATATAATATATCAGAGTTAAGTACCTTAAAACTGGTTTCAATTGAAATTACTTTAAAATTTTTATTTAACTTGGTTTTTTTTATTATTTTCTAAAGCAGACTTTTCTCTAATATCGAAAATTAATTTGTTCAGTTAAGATACTATACTTTGAATCTCAGAACTTTTACCTGTAATGCTCAATTCTTTTTCCAAGTGTATTGAGGGAAAATAAATGGTTGTCCATCCGGCACTAGCGGATTCGCAGTGAGTCTTCACACCATAAAACAGGAGATCCGGAAAAAGGAAAAAATTAAAACGGATCGAGTATAAATATCTGTACTATGTCATTGAATTTATTACTGGGACTCAGATACAATTTGAAGAGGTTCAAACATATATGTAATCATATTCCCAGAGATAAACTTATGCAGCTTAAGGGGTTATGGGTAGTCAGAATTTTCAAAAATCAATTTGTTTTTTTTTTGTACATTTTTGTTAAGTGTAATATCGTGAAAATATTCTCTGAAAATTTCAAGTTGATCCGATAATTACTTTTTGAGTTATTCGACATATAACAAAGAGCGCTCTTCAAAGCGCTAGTGAACAGGTAGTGGCAGCTGCAAGAAACTTTAAATGCGTTTTTCTGAAAACTATGTTTTTTGAACTGGTGACAACTGTAACTGGAAAACCACTCAGTAGATTTTATTGAAATTTATACAGCTTTTAGAATACATAATGAGCTCGGGCCTGATCGAAGGAATTTTTTCCAAAAATTTAGATTTTTTAAGGCTAATTAACTGTTGATTTTTTCCAAAAATCTAGAAAAAAATGTTGTAAGGTCACCATTTTGTTAATTTTTAAAAAAAGTTTCGATCAAGCCCAGAATTATCTTTTTATAAAATTAATTTTTTCATCCGATTGATTTTAGATGAATCTCCAAGGACTTATGATTGTCAATGCAGGGACCTTTTTTGGAACTGGGTCAACACAGACAATTATAACTTTGGAAATAAAAAAAAAAAATTTTGAAATTTTCGTGACTTCAAGTCAAAATATTATATATTAATGCCATATAAATACTTTTGTAAAATAACATGATTTAGTTCTCTTTTCAAATGGTTGAAAATATTGTGGTTGCCAATAATATTTCGTGTTTAATTATTGGTTTGCATCCAACCAAATCCTCGCGTAACTGGAAGCAATCCCAATGGTTGGTCAGAAATTTAATACTTTACTTTAAGTCAGTATATGCTAGACACAACCTTATCTATCTCAAACTTCCTATGGACAGGTGTGGTGACAGTGCCGTGTGGCTTCTGCTGTAAATAGCATAAAGTCTTTGTAATTTTTCAACTAACAGTACTTGTATATTGACCCCACATAACCGTGGACGACTGTACCAGCCTCAAAAAAATATCCTATAACTCAATTGTTCTTAATTTTTGCTGCACCTGTGAACCACTGTGCTTGCTGAGTATAAAATACGCGCGCGTTTAGCGCTACTCAGCACTAATCAGAAAATAAATAGGAGAGCGCAGACCCACTAGCCAGAGCGTAAAAAGCGAAATGAACACAAACATTAGCGCCCACTAAGTCACTGCCAGCAGCTTTGCGCCCACGGCCATTAATAAAGAATGAACACTTTTGGAATGTATGTCAATGTATGGCAGCGCCAACACGCCACCGCCAAATCGGCTTGGTTTGGAAACAACGCGTGTGGGGCTCAACGTGTGCTTGCGCGTCTGTGTGTGTTCGAGTGTGTTGGTGATGGGGTCGTACAGCGCTTTCGCTGTCCTCGGCAGCGCAGTAGTCGACGGCGTCAACGCTGCCGCAGCCATAACCGTCGTCGGTATTAACGTGATTGCTGGTGGTGTTAGTGGCGCTGCCACTGTGTTTGCTGTTGTTGCCGCTGCACTCGGTTTTGCAACCACCGAGACACACAGCCAGTTATCGTTAACGAGCTGGTGGAGCCTGAATGGCCAGCTCGTACGTGCGAGTATATGTGGTATGTGCAAGCACAGCTATTTCGCCCCATTTGGCGCTAGCCGACGAAACTTACGACAATGATTACGACGACGTTGGTTGATACGAAACGACGTCGATTCGCTGTGTAAGCGTTGCGTTGTTGGCCGCGACGGCGGCATTCACATCGTTAGTACAAACGCTAGTGAAAATGAATCGGTATAATCGTTGTTGTCTCGGTGTGAATGCTGTTGCCTTTGCTGCTGTAGCGAGGCGGACTGTGACGCTTTTGGGATCCGCTGTACGAGTCAGTTGTCAGTTCGCATCCAACCAGAAAGCAAGTAGGGTCTGTACTAGAGTTTCTTCGGTAAGAAGCCACGAGGTCGTTCGCTGCGTTAGCAATTTGTGAGTGATATTTATTTTCATTAAAGTACATACGCATACGTATATATCTACGTAAATACGTACATACGATACGACACGTTGCTACTTTGCAAAACATTAATCGACGTGCGAAGGCAATTTGAATAGCGACCGGATTAAGTGACTTAATGACTGACTAAGTGTCTAACTGGCGGAAGATGGCCCCAGCAGAGGTCTAATAAAAATTATTATGTACGTGAATACCAAGTGTGAAAACTTACGGAAAAACTGAAAGAATTTGCAAAATTCTGTCATAGAACAAGAACCGAAAGAGAAGCAAAAAAAATAAAAATAATTGTATAAAAACACGTAATAGAAGGAATGACGAAAGAAAGAGAAGGAAATCACAAGCATACATTTTAAGTGACTGTGTGGTTGTGTATGTGTTTGTGTGTGTGTGAATTTTTATGCGCGCGTGAGCAAAAAGCGCAAAAGTCTAAAATATGCGCGAAAGGCGAGAAGTGAAATGAAAATATCGGTGAACAAATGAATGAAAAATAAAAAACAAAACTTTAAATAGAGGAAAGCACATAATTTGCGGGCGCGCAGAACGCAATTTTCAATGAAAAAAAATTTATTTATTCAAAAAAAAAGAAAAAAAAGCGGGTTGTGCGATGCGAAGCAATAAATTCATCGACATAAAGGCAAATTGCGCGTTCATGGCGATCACCTAATCATATAATTTTAGAATAAACAAATATTTTTAGAAAACACTTCGGTAATGCTATGCGCCGACCAAGTGCTGCCGTGAGTGCTACCTATGCCCAAGCGATTTCTTTGTTTTTTCTTTTTTTCTGTAAGGCGGAAACGCGCGAAGTACACGTTACAAAGCAGGCGATTCTTGAGGAACGCGGCTGGCGTCTCTGAGATCACGCGCTGAATGAATTCTTGAAAGCAGAAGCGGCAACAGGCTCTAAAAACACAAGTGATCTTGCAAATATATATTTGGTGCTAAAAGTGGAAATGATCTCGACTTTGCCGCGCCAATTGTTTTTGTTAATGTTACTTGTGTAGTAGTAAGTATAGACTCCTACCGCGCCAAACCACATTTCAAATTACAATATTCTGCGGTTCCGAAGCGCTTCTAGTGTGTGCTCCCTTAGTGTTTCCCGCTTTTGCGGTTTGGCGACGCCGCGTAATACAATTCGCGTTCAAAAAAGTAATGCAGCATTGCTGGGAATTGATGACGTGACGCTTACACGCCTTAATTATGTTGTCATACTTGCCAAGCGCTTCGCTCTGACGGCACACATACTAATGAGCATACATATTGCGAAGGTATTTTATGAGCTCGCCTAAGCTTGTCACCAAAGGCACGACGCAAATTTCGCTTTAGTGAACGGTATGTTTTCGAATTTTTCTTATTTCAAGAGCCGGTCCTCAGTACGCGCTCCACTTAAGCACACAAAGCTTCCATAATCTATTACTCATATCCATTACAACTCGTCAGTCGCGTTCACTACCTGATCACTTAGCGCAGCATCGATTGCTGTAGCGACTGGGTTGCCTTACTGGATCGGACTGCGTTGTTTCCTTTCTACTCGACCACAATAAGCAGCATACTTATATCAGCGTGTGTCCGTGCGCATATCTGATCGGTTGTGCTCCGCAGTGTGTAGAGATACAGCACTTTGCCAGCCACTCCAGTCCAGTCGGTGAGGTAGGCACGAATGTGCTCATGTCTGTCTGTTTGTATGTATAGTAGGCAGTCAGGCAGGCAGACAGGCAGAAAGGCGGTCAAGTAATCAGCCAGAGTCAGACAAAGTACCGTGTGTATGCGGTCAGTTGATCGGCCGCTGCTGCGCTGCCCATTCATCCGCTATTTAGTAATTCTACCAGTCAGTCGCGAAGTACAACAAAAAGCAACAACAAGCATTGCGATCGAAACGAGTTTTTAATTTTTTTTTCCCAACATCTTATCTTTTACTTTCTTCGCGGTGTGTCTTTTTTTGTATCTGTATCTGAAGTGTCAGTTTAATGCCGGAGTCGGTTTGCGATGTTGTGTTGGAACTGTGTTATGTCTTCGGAAATCGTTTTGAAAAACAAGCAGAGTTTTGTATAATTTTTTTAACAATATTAAAAAATATAAACAATAAAATATAAATACAATGAGATTGCGAAACAACTTGCCAGTTCTGTGAGGAAAGAACTCAAAGGGTTTGGCTTCGTTTCCTTTCTCTTTCTTTTGTCACACCATAACACAATGATAAACGAGTGTGTTGTGCTTTCAGGTGCTGCATATTCTGAAGGTGATAGTTAAAAGTTATACAAGTGCGTGGAAAAAATACAAATTTTCCAAATAAAGTTCAACGTTCAAACGTGGCTTAAAAACACAAAAAAAGCGCAAGGTAACGACTTAAATATATAAAATTACAAAAATAAAAATAACAAACAAATAAAAGAAGCTCTCGCCTGTTAACCAAGTGATCGCGGCTGCTGAGATTCTAGTTCCTGAGTTTCGGCGTTGCTAAGTAATATTATTTTTCCCTTGATGGAAACCACAAAAGTCGTGTCACGTGTGTTTTGGTACTATTCGACAATTCAAAAAAGTGACAATTGACACACGATTGCCAAATAACAGTGTTAAGTAACACAATAATAGCGGAAATAAAAAGTGCGTACAAAAGCAGTTAGATCGTGCGTGATAAATAAAAAGTGAAACGTGTGGCAAAGTGGAATCAGAATTTTGATATTGAAAATGTACAATTGAATTGAGCGTAGTTGGAGCGCAGTGTTATAAAACGAAAAAAAAAATTAATAATACAAATAGTGAGCGAGAGCACTCGTGAGAGTAAGCAGCAAAAAAAAAATATTTACATGCATTAAAATTTCGGCCAGTGCCAAAACTGCTCTTCAACGATAAAAGTGAAATAAATAATCGTCAACAACAACTACAACAGCTATTATCAGCGATAAAAGAGAGCACCAAAACAGCGGTTCAGCAAACACTTTAACGGAGTGACAGCGGTGAAGGTTATTCTGTAAGTATTTTACCTGTTGTCGTTTGTGAGAAATGCAATTTAAAGTTCACAGCTTATTTGTCGCAGTCGATTTTTTGTTTTTTAACTAATAATAATAAAAGTGTGGAATATTAATTGTTTGGATACAGAGGCGGCATGGCGTGCTCAGATGTACAAGTAGGTGTTAAATCTGCGTAAAGGAATATCATTTTGCTTACATTGAATTAGTAATCCCTAAAAATCCCGTTATGTGTTGCTTAAATTTTTGAGTTTTTAATAAAACTACAGAAAATTTGGTTAAAGCAAATTTTTCCAGTTCTAAAACTTCCAAAACGATTTCTTTTTATGGTTATTCGTATGTTTGTAGTAAATATTTGAACACGAAATTGGTTTCATACCGCGAATTAACAGACGTATTTTTTTTATTGAAAATTTGCCCAGAGTTCATATGAGGTACCTCGTCCTCTTTCCTGGCAGTGACAAAAAATTATTTGATATGAGCGATTTTGATGTGTAGTGTCGAGAAAAAACTAAATAAAGCCAATGATGAAATATTTTTTTATTAGGTATTTTATTATATTAAGAAATGTCCACTTGAAAGTCTGAAATACGAAAAGTTATTTTGTTCCATATATGACCCCGTAGCCGGTTTCCAGGAGGACTTTCGCAATAATGTGTGTCGATGAAAAGATTTTTTTGCTTAAAACTATCTTAAATCAAAAAACGAAAGAAAATTATTACTAATATTCGTGATGACCAAAGGACTAACCAAAATTTTGATATTTGTCAAAATGGCAACATCCCAAAAAAGCCTTTTTTGTGAAAAATGTACACCTCACCTTACAAATTTATCTAAGAAGGGCGTGGGAAAATGGATTTTTTGAAATTAACAAGTGAATATAACCCCTTAAGGGGCACACATAGTGTAACTGCCTAAAAAAACCGATTTTTGGGAATATAAAAAAAAATATTATCGATTAATTTGAAAATTTTTGGGTGTATTTACAATAAATTAAATATGTTTTGAGTTATACGAGATCTCCGGTTGCAATAATTTTTATTTTTTTCGTGGATGAAACCTAAAAATAAAAAATTCTCGTTAAACTAGAAATTATTTTCCGTACAATGACCTACGAAAAAAAGAAAATCAAAAAATGACAAAATTGCGGCGTTTTAATAAAAGTTTGAATTTTGGTCGTTTTTGCCTTGCCAAAATTAAATTTTTGATCACTTCATAAAATTGATAGGACATTGTACATATACAAGTAGTATGTATAATTATATAGAGAGCAGGCATAATGACAATCTGATAATTTGTCTTCGAGTTATAACTACATCAATTTCGAAAAATACTGTTTCGAGACAAACCTGTTTAAAGATAAACTGTTGCAGCTAATTGAATTGAGGGTTTACTCTTTAAATGGCTATAACTCAAAAACTATTAAAGATATCGAATTGAAATTTTAGTATGTTATTTGTAAAGGTATAAACTATTTCACACGCTAGCTATTTAAAAATTTAGAAAAATGTCAAAAATAAATACTATAATGTAAAAAAATCTTAATTTGTACGCTAATATCAATTATTTCGAAACCAGCTACCGATTCGTCAGCTAAACGTCCTACTCAGTTATTCCGTTTAGAACCTTTTGATTTTGGTATTTTTCGCACTGCCAAGACTATGAAACTTTCCAAGTCCAGTTAATACTTGCCACACCTAGCTGTAGGGGATTGATTACCTTATTTTATGAAAGTAAATTTGTTTTTCGTCATCCTATGGAGGAATATTCTCAGAAAAGCTTAAGCGTTTTCGACTTACCAGCTTTCCAATCGCTATGTTTTAGATTCGCACTTTCGTCAAAAAATGTAGACGAATATGTTGTAGAACATATTTTTGTTTAATAAATAAAACACTATAAAGAGAATCTGCATATCGTCAAAATTACATAAATTCATACACATAAGTACTTGTATATACTTACATTTTGTTAAGCCAAAACCTTTCTTTGAGACAAAAGCACACAAAATAGCAAAAAACAATAAAAACGTGGCCAGCATCGTAAGCAGCGACTACTTAACCTCAATCAGATCTTTCATACATCTTTGTACAATCATCTGTTAATCAAGTGGCGAAAACGAAAAACAGGTATACGTATGTTACATACCCATACATATGTACATATATGCGGTTAAAAAGCCGGTAGTGTGAAAAATTGTAGAAAAGCATGTGTGGTGGTTAAGAAAAATAAAAATGAAAATAAATCTTCCGGACAAAAACAAAACAAATAAGTAAACAAACAATAAACGGCCTTCCGCCATGGAGCAATGCGCAATGCAACGGGCGAACAGACGAAAGGGGAACAAATCCAAGTCGAAAGTGACGCAAAACATGTTGCTGATACGGACGAACTAGGGGAAAGGCACTGCACACATACATACCTATACATGTTTGATTATCTTATTTAGAGGAGATTAATTTACAAAAGCTGCGACTACGTCAAACGCCAAGATTCCGAAGACCATGAACGCGCTGCTTAATGATGAAGAACGCGGCTGACTGTGCGCAGTGTGTACGAAAACAAAAAAACCGGTGGAGAAACTTAAAAGACAACAGGAAGACATAAACATTTACCCCTGAAAATCTACACGAACATGTCTGTGTGTGTGTCAGGTCTCTGCACGATCACTTGCATCTGCAGTGCGCTGTATTCGGGAAGGGATGATAAATCAAAACGAGCAGCTCGAATCGGCCAAATGCCACTGAATGCGAATTGTTGTAGAAGAGCCAAAAGACGAACGAGACCGTCTGCTGTTGAAGAAACGCAAAAACTTTGTATACCTCGGTGTTTATTGTTGCGTGTTTGTTGGAGCTTGCGATGAGCTGATGATCTTATAATGTGATGGGAAACAGGTTTCGGAGCAAAAGTGATAAATGTATGCCACAAAAAAAGAAAACGAAACGAAACCATTAAAAGTGTGTTTAAAGAAATGTGGCAAAAGTGTGGAAGAATGCAGAAAGTGGAAGAAGAAATGTGTGTGTTTGAGCAAAAAGTAAAAAAATAGAACGAAAACAACCTTATGACGGGGTAAAAAAAAAGTCAAGCGAAAAGCCAGAAAGGTAATAAACGTAAATTTGGCCGCAACAGATGCCGTGCGGCGATTTAAAATATGAAAAAAGCTGCAGAAAATAACAACGAACTTTTTGCTTCAAATTCTTGTTTTTTTTTGCTTTGATAAACGTCAAGTTGGTTTAAGACGGTTTGAGAGACATAGTAAAGGGCATACTTGGTTACCTAGGCTGGTGCTTTATGCCAATGGGAAGTCGAATAGATATTGCTATTATGGCTAACCTCTTTGACAAGACGTTTTGTTGTTATACAGCTTTAACGATAGAGAGGGGTCGATATTAGAGTACTGTAACATATAGCTGTCATACAAACTGAACGATCAACTTACGTTCTTGTATGAAAAACTATTTTATTTGACGAGATATCTTCCAGAAAATTCGCATGAATTATTTCCCAGCCAACGCTATGATATCCGAGGAAATTTTTCCGATCGGAATACTATAGCATATAACTATTTTTACGAAATTGGCATGCATTTTTGTCCGAGATATCGCTTAATCTCCGAACATAAGCATGTACATATTTTACAGGTCGGCTACTAAATCTTATTGTGTGGAAACTACTTTATCTATAAAGGGTATTCTAGCTTTGGTGCAGCCGAAAATGAAAAGCTTTCCCTAAAAGTGCAACGATTGCTTCGTATCGTATAAAGAATCCGCGGGAATCCAGCACTGGTCGACTAGCATCATGTCGCACCCACAAAAAATAGAAACAAATATATAAGTATATACAGATCACTGTGAGTCCAGCAGTGCTAGTAATACTTTGAACACATAAAAATAAGAAAGCTACACTGTTGTGTGCGCTCTCGATGGAAAGAAGAAAATGTACAGAGAATGGCGAAGAAGAAATAAAAAATCGCGTGTTCAATTTTCGCTTTATGATTACAGAGGCCTATGCAAAGATACCGACCGAAGTATATATGAATTGCGGCAATACCGGACTGCGTGCGTACACATTTCTAGTGGTATTTGTAGGCTGAAGCATGTGATGAGGAAGAACACATATGTATGTATGTATGTATGGTATGTAGCTACATATGTTAGTAAAACGTCGAAGAAGTTAGCCAGACTGCTGGGAGAACAGGGAATAATGACACCGAAGCAAATAAAATACCAGCAAATAGCAGCAGAGGTCCAATGGACTCTCATATATTATATTATATATGCAGACACTAACACACGCGCGGTATTTTTTCTGATGCATCGGGGGCACCGTGACGAACCAAGAACGACAGTGATGATGCGATGATCAGTGTATATGAGAACATTTGTGTGCATGCATGTATGTATATTTGACCGCTGATCTTGACGGCCAAGCCAAACCCGAAATTACCGACTGAGAGTGAACACATTTCTCGGCTGTTTTCCGCAGTCGCGCTATTTGTTTCGTCCACAAAGTGGGTAGGGTGGCGCGGGGTGTGCATGAGTACTTTGTGTAGCTGCTGACTTACTTTGCTTGTGGTGTTTGTAAGCACGTTTGACTAGTTTTTTTCCCAATGTATGCTGTTGAAAAAAAGTTTCTTCTTTTATTTTGTTGATTTTCACGTTTCTTTCAAAAGACATTCGCTGAGCCACAGAGAGTAAGCGAGTGATCATACGATTTAATCAAGTGTCTAATGATTATTACTGTTTTGATTTGAGCGCTGACGTGAGCGCATGGTCTGCCAGCGCTAGCGCGAGCAAGAGTATGAAATAACGTTAGAAAAGAGAGGACAAGCGAGTCATATTAATGGCGTATCTACTGCGCAGTTGAATTTTTTATAGAAAAAGTATAAATAAATGGAAAAAAGTTAAATGAAATGAAATGAAATGAAATAGCAAAGCACATAATACATACTTACATATGTATGTAGGTAGTATGCGTGCCGCGCGACAGCGCCACGTTTAGCGTTTGCGGAATCGCCTGGCATTTGTCTTTTATGTAATTTTTTTTCCACCAATCATTTGAATATTTAACTCAATCAAACATTTAATATTCAGCTGGCAGCATGTTACATACAGACATACAAATAGGCATCTAGGTACATATGTAAATTAATAAATAGAGA